TGCGCCTGCGACACACGCTGACGCTGCTCCGCCGATTCAATCTCACCCTGCGCAAGCGATCCCGGCGTCTGGGGCGTCGCTTCCCGTCGCGCAGCAGGCGAACACGCCACCACAGCACGGCCAGGCGGCCGGCACGGGCCCTGCCCTGGGGACAACGGTGGCCGCCGTCCCCCATTCCACACACGTTGCGGACCCCGCGGCAGCGTCGCATCGAGGACGCGGTTCTCCTCGGCCTCGCCCGTCCCCCTCGTATCGATCGGCGCATCGCGGTGGCCGCGGCGGCTGGTGGGGAGGTCGCGGTCGCGGGCGTGGCGAGATGAATGAGATGCTGCAACTGCGCGCAGATTTCCCGGGGATGTTGGCTGCCACGATGTGCGCGGCTCTGGCTAACGCACCGACCCCGGACGTCACGCAGACTCCAGCGGTTGCGCCAACTGCCCATGTTCTTGAGCGTGATCCGCCACCTCCCCCCGCGGCCCGTGCCCCGCATACTGCATCGTATGCGCATGATCCTGCTCCCGCCGGTGAACGTGCTCCTCTGGCTGCCCCCCGACCAGTCTACGCGGCCCCTTATCCTGACCTGCCTTGGATTCCTGCTGTGGCGGGCATGGGATTCGTGGGGGCGGGAGGCAGTTCGTCCCACCTCGACGGCTTGCTGAAGTTCCCGCTGCGCCACCACCTCCCTCTCTTCCCGTTCCTGCGGTTGGGCTGTATCCAGCGCGTGTGGAAGTGCCCAGAATGCTTGACGGCGGCCGCACAACTTGCCTTCCTCCTCCTACCCGTGCTGGCTGCGCCCGCGATCTCGCAGCTGGACGAGACAAACCAGGGTCTGACAGGACACCTCCGTGAAGGAGGCGGGATTGAAGCTGTCGGCGCGACCGCGTTAGTGGTCCAACAGCTGTGGAGGACCATGCGTGGAATCCTCGAGGCTCTGGGTGCCCATCAGATGTAGTTTCGGGCACCCGCCGCACGTAGACCCGCTGCATTTTGTTGTCTAGATGCGTTGCATGTTTGCCGGCTTTGTCATTACCCGTGTGTTTTCTGTTGTTTATGCCTTTTCGTCTTGCCGTCCCAAAGCACGCGGCCGTAGGCCGCGCACGCGCCGCCGGCGCGAGCGCCTACGGTTTCTGGAACGAACTGAACTAATGAAGAAAGAAAGGCCCCGCAGGGTCCATATATAGCTATAGGACTAGGGGCAGAGGCAGAGGGCAGAGGCAAAGTCTCTCTCTCTCTCTCTCTCTCTCTCTCTCTCTCTCTCTCTCTCTCTCTCTCTCTCTCTCTCTCTCTCTCTCTCTCTCTCTCGCTCTCTCCACGCCTACGGTTTCTGGAACGAACTAAACTAATGAAGAAAGAAAGACCCCGCAGGGTCCATATATAGCTATAGGACTAGGGGCAGAGGCAGAGGGCAGAGGCTAAGTCCTCTCTCTCTCTCTCTCGCTCTCTCCACGCCTACGGTTTCTGGAACGATCTGAACTAATGAAGAAAGAAAGACCCCGCAGGGTCCATATATAGCTATAGGACTAGGGGCAGAGGCAGAGGGCAGAGGCTAAGTCTCTCTCTCTCTCTCTCTCTCTCTCTCTCTCTCTCTCTCTCTCTCTCTCTCTCTCTCTCTCTCTCTCTCTCTCTCTCTCTCTCTCTCTCTCTCTCTCTCTCAAGCGGTCCTTGTATTAGCTAGCAGAAAAGTACAGACATGCGCGGAAGAAGAAGAAGGCACCTGGAACATGCATCGTAGGTACTAACCCCGCCCCTTCATCCCCCTCTCCCTACCGCTCCACCTAAGGGAGCTCCAGTGCCGGCTCCAGGATTGCAAAGCAATCCCCGAGGGACATGCCCTCTCCCGGCGTCCCCACAGGTGGGTTTTCCACCTGTGCCGCGAAGTTGCATTTCGTCATGAAGCTCACCGACTGAGCACGCTGCAGCGCCACAGACCAACGCTGGCGGAACTGATGCAGCAGCTTCGTGGCCTGGTAAGAGGAAGGGGGGGGGGGGAGGTGGGGGGGGGGGGGGGGTACTTCTCCTCATAAGTTTCCGCTGCAAGCGCGTGGAACCCCACCCATGCGTTCCGCCGAGCGTACTTCTCCTCCTTTTTTGCTGCAGCCGCCCTAGCCGCCCATCCAGGGGCACGGTTTGCAGTTCTCATCCTGGTATGACACCGGGTCCGTCACGGTCACGTCGCACATCCAAACTTCTCCGGTCAGGGGATGACGGATGGTGACATCCGCCTTTAGATTTTCAACCAGAGAGTAGACATACGTCTCCTTGTGAACCGTAAACCCCGCCTCAGCCCCAATGTTCGCTATCTCATCCCGCAGAGCGTGATGGGTTGCGGTCCTCCCTTTTCCCTTCTCGCAGCGCATGAAGTGGTTGGGGAGGCGGTCGTCGGGGAAGGTGGTGCGGTAGCGGCAGTCACAGCGTCTAGGCACGGGGAGGGGGAGGCCTAGGCGGAAGGCAGCTGCAGTTGAGAACTGCGATGGGCCCATCCGGAGCGAGGGGGTGAGCGGTATCGCCAGCAGCCAGTCCCCCGCGCCTGGGCCTAGCACCGACTGCATCCGTTGCTCGTGGCCAGACAGGGGGTTGGGGCGCATCCGCCTTGCCTTGCGCATGACACTCAGGAAGCGGCGGGAGTGAACCGCCAGCGCTAGGCTCTGCTGCAGCTTCAGTCCCTTGGGGTCCGCCTTCCCGGCCTGGAGCGCCTCGAGAGCCTCAGGGGGTAGAGCTGCCTCGGCTGCAGCGAGGCGTGCAGGTAGCGCGTGCGGGGAGCCGTGGGTCGGGTCCAGTAGGGGGAGGAGTGCGGCGGCAGCAGGGTGCAACGAGTCCTCCAGGGAGTGCAGGAGGTGGGCGGTGCTGATCACTGAGGCGAGGTAGGCGTAGCTGCCTTCAACGGCGGGGTCAGTGATGCCCAGCCCTCCCAAAGTCACAGGTAAGGCTGCCTGCCGCCAAATCCTCCACCTCTCCCTGGCGCTCCTTGGCCTCATGATGTGAGCTGAATCCAGGAAGGTGTGTAGAAGCTGTTCCCCCCAAGCTGACCATTCAGCTTCAGGGAGGGCCTCTAGGGGGGTGGTTCTGGCCAGAAAAGATGCTCTGCGGCTGACACAGCGGGTGAGGAGGAGGAGGCTGAGCTGGGGGTCCATCTGGGCCAGCAGGGGGAGGGGCGCTGCTGCTGCTGCCAGTCTCTCTCTCACAGCACCTGCGCAGCCCCGGGGAGAACCTATGGGGCTGCCGAGAATCTGCAACCCCTCCTCAGCGATAGAGATGCCGGGGGGAACTGCAGAGGGGTCGATTGCAGCGGCGGACCACGCCGTGCACTTGGCCGGGTTGTGTACCAGGCCGAGGGCGGCCAATGCAGATGTGAGGTGTTCGAAAGCCGCTGCGCAGGCCGTGGCGTCGCCGAGCAGCGTGATGTCATCGGCGTACGCCAACAGGACCACATGAGGGTGCGCGGCTGCCGTGTCAACGAGGCACGGGTGGATGCTCGCCGCGAACAGGAGGGGGCCGAGCGGGTCCCCTTGGCGGACACCTCTGGCGCTCTGCAGCGGGGCAGCGCAGAAGTCGTGGTCGAGGTGGAACGAGGAGGGAGCTCCATAGGAAAGGCGGACGAGGGGGATCAGTTCCTTGAGCGCCTCGTTATTCAGTCCTTCGAACACCGCCCTCCTTTCGACCGCGTTGAATGCGTTTGCGAGGTCAATCTGCAGGGCCACAGCAGTGGGGTGCTCTTCCAGGTACGTGCGAGCGGTGTGGATAGCCGCTTCTATCCCCCCTGCTACTGCTACTCCGAACTGAAGGGGAGCAAAGTGAGTACGTGCGGCTGGCGCGGTCAGGAACAGAGCGGCCTTTGCTATAATCCGGAGGAGACACTCCCCCACCGCAATCGGCCGCGTCCCTCCTTGGGGTTTCGTAAAGGCTAACAGGCGGGAGGCCGTGAGTAGTTCCCCCGCGATTTTGGGGAGTTTTCCTGCTAGAGCAGTGTTGGAGAGGGCGAGGAGGTGGGTGAGTACTTCGGCGTTCCCTAGGGCTGCATCGCGGATGTGCTCGAATGTGGTTCCTGAGGGGCCGGCTCCGACTCCGTTAGGGAGCTTGGCGAGGAGGCGCCGGAAGTCGCGGGCTTCGATAGTAAGTGGTGTTCCTGCCGAGGCGATGTGGAGCCAGTCAGGGAGCTGTTGGCTGGCAGACGTGTGTCTCGCCGCGAGGGCTTCCAACACTTCAGGTGAGGCGGGTGACACAGGAGTGGCCTGGAGGGATTGGAGTGATTTTGACAGGTTACCCCGTTTTGCCAGTCCTTCCGCCCTTGCCAGTATCCCAGTTGTGTCAGGAGCGTGGCGAGGTTGCGGTGGCAGGGAAATCGCCTGGATTGCCTCTTCGTAAAGGCCCGCCCAGAGCCCTTGGCGAAATCGCAGGAGCCGATTCATCATTGCGCTCCAGTCAGGCTTACGGGCTGTCGAGGTGCGGAGGAGTATGCGCGGGAGGAAGGTCAGTAATTTCCACCCTGGCGGAGACTCAGGATTGGCCGCCAGGTGGAGTAGTGGTGTCAACAAGCAGATCGCGAAGGAGTCGCGAAGGTCTTTGGGCGGGTGGCGAGCGAGAGGGGGTTGGCGACTGTCGCGCAGCGGGTCAAGGTCCCAGTCCGCCACCTGAGCGAACAGCTCAGAATTTTTCGCCAGGTCGTCAGGTTTGAGCATCAGGGGGGTTGGATTCGGGGCTGCAGAATTCTCATTGGCTGTTGCAGAGTCAATCCTGACTTCAGTCGCGGCTCGATTTCCCCCCCTTGCTTGATTTCCCCCCGCGGTTCGATTTCGTCCTGAGGTTCGGTTTGCAGGTCCACCTCTGGTCTGCTGGAATGGAAAGTCTGCTCCCTGAAGCAGCAACTCCAACTCTTCCTCGTCCTCCTCAGCCTCTGCTTCTAGTATCCCCTCTCTTTCTGGGTTAAAAGCAGAGTCACCCCCTTCGCTTTCCTCAGACTCGACATCGTCCACAGCCTCCTCGCCGGGCGCCTCCTCCCCGCGTTATGCGTCTTCACGCATCAGCCTTTCTGCAGTTCTCGCGTATCGGCTCGTGCCGGTGCGTCGCCGATTCGAGCCTCGTGCTCCTCCACCTCTTCGACCTCTCCCGTTCCCACGGCGGCCGCGGCGGTTGTTGCCGCGTCCCACACGTATTCCCCGCGTTCCTCTTCCGCCCGCAGGTCCCGCGTGCCCTGTCTGGGGCGCCTCGTCCGCCGTGTCTTCTGTTGGTCGGCGCGCTGGCGTCGGCGGCCGTGCGATCAGGGGTGATGGACCCATCCGCGCGACGGGATCCCGAGCTGGAGGGTTCCGCGGAGAGCGCGCTGCCAGAGCCTGCACCAGCCTGGCCTCGGCCGCGTCCTCTCGCGCACCCCTCAGCAAGCGAGCCTGTCCGCCGCTTCGAGCGGGTGCTGACTCTTCCCCATCGGCCTGCTGTGCGCCCCACCTCGCCGGAGTATTCGTGGGCCCCTGCACGTGTTGCGTCGAACCGCCCAGACGGACAGCCACGGCAGGAGCGCGGGCGCTCGCCTCCGCGCCAGGCTCCTCGGCAGCCCTCTCCTCGCCGGCCTTCTCCTGAGCAACGCGAACCTCGTCAGCACAGGGAGGGCGGTCAGCGGTCCCCTGCGCGTCCTCGTTCACCACGCCGTCCATCTCCTCGTGGTCGGGCAGTCCCGCGCTCACCCCGAGCGCGATCCCCCACGCAACGCTCTCCGCGGCGCTCACCGGTGACGCGGGGGAGGGGGTCGCCTGGGCGTCGGTGGGACACGGGTCGCCACGAGCAATCCCCTCCGCGTCCGCATTCGGCTGGATCTGGAGGCCGGCGGGGCCGGCGGAACGGCGGTGGGCGTGGCAGAAATGTTCGCGGGCAGGATCCCGCCCTGGATCGTGCCACGAGTGCGTTTGCGGAGGTCGTGCGCCAGGCGCGGGCGAGTGGTGAGCCGACTCATGTACACATTGAGGTGACCAACGGTCCTCCCATCGCCGCGGACCCTGGCCAGGTGGCTCCTCTGCGCGCGCCGACGTTGCGCGAGTATCTGCCCGCGCGGGAGGGGCGGCCTCAGTTCCGCCACCCTCGTCAAGTCTCGGGCTTCTCCGCGCAGCGCCTCTCTGGTGGCCGGATTCCTGGCTGGCAGACGGAGTTTCCTCGCGAAGCGCCGACTGCACATCTCCCCAGTCACATGGGGAGAGATTCCATGCTGACCATGTGCAGGATTCTGAATGTGGCGGAGGCGTGCGAGGTGGTGGCGAACTTGCAGCTGGCGGTGTGTGCGGCCACGCGGAGCTTTCCGAGCAGTTACGGTCCAGGATCCCGAGGATCCTGCGTGTCTTTGGCAGAATCGCTCGAGTCGTCGTTGGCACCCGTGTCGGAAGCGCCCGCCGGGGTAGCGCCCTTAGCGCGTACCTTCCCCCGCCACGTGGGGGATCTTGTAGAGGCTGCTCGGGTTGGTACCCCCGTGGGCACGTTTCAGTCGTCGGCGCATCTCCTTCTTGCAATGTCCGCGTGCATGCGCTCGATGCTGGAGATGGAGGGGGCGGAGCCGTACACGCAGTAGCGCGTCGCCGAGTGTAGAACTGCATGTTGCCTCCCGTAGGGCTTGGTCTCCCAGCTTGCTTGATGTGTGTGTGTTCCTTGTAGTCTAGAAATTGCGCTAGTGTCTTGCCACCAGAGACGCGCGGCCGAAGGCCGCGCACGCGAGCGGCGGTGGCCGAAGGCCGCCGGCGCCAGCCGCCGAAAATGGAACCACGACGAAATAATGAGAAGAAGCACGCTAGGAAAGGCCTTAAATAGCCAGGAGGGCAGAGGGCAGAGGGAGAAGGCAGAGGGCAGAGGGCTAAAGTTCCTCTCTCTCTCTCTCGCTCTCTCAGCCGCCGAAAATGGAACCACGACGAAATAATGAGAAGAAGCACGCTAGGAAAGGCCTTAAATAGCCAGGAGGTCAGAGGGCAGAGGGAGAAGGCAGAGGGCAGAGGGCTAAAGTTCCTCTCTCTCTCTCTCGCTCTCTCAGCCGCCGAAAATGGAACCACGACGAAATAATGAGAAGAAGCACGCTAGGAAAGGCCTTAAATAGCCAGGAGGGCAGAGGGCAGAGGGAGAAGGCAGAGGGCAGAGGGCTAAAGTTCCTCTCTCTCTCTCTCGCTCTCTCAGCCGCCGAAAATGGAACCACGACGAAATAATGAGAAGAAGCACGCTAGGAAAGGCCTTAAATAGCCAGGAGGGCAGAGGGCAGAGGGAGAAGGCAGAGGGCAGAGGGCTAAAGTTCCTCTCCCTCTCTCTCGCTCTCTCAGCCGCCGAAAATGGAACCACGACGAAATAATGAGAGGAAGCACGCTAGGAAAGGCCTTAAATAGCCAGGAGGGCAGAGGGCAGAGGGAGAAGGCAGAGGGCAGAGGGCTAAAGTTCTCTCTCTCTCTCTCTCTCTCTCTCTCTCTCTCTCTCTCTCTCTCTCTCTCTCTCTCTCTCTCTCTCTCTCTCTCTCTCTCTCTCTCTCTCTCTCTCTCTCTCTCTCTCTTTCATGGTCCCCTTTGGTTGTATGTACCATCAGGGGTCTACTAAATAACAGTTTCAGTGGTTCGATTCCATCCACCATCGGCAACATGGTCAGCCTTATATACCTGTCAGTATCCAAGGAATTTGATTGATATTTCTAATTTGCATGGCTAATCATTCCTGCAACTACAGGATTTGGGCTTCGCTAAGCAGGTATACTTTGGCACACATGACTGAACCACTTTACACTTTGGAACTCAAGGCCGGGAAGGGAGACGGTGCATGGCAGTGACCAACATTGGCAGAACATTTGCGAGGAAGATCTCTCCCACCCGCGGTGACGCCCCACTTCCTTCCGTGTCCAACCCACTTCGATTAATGCCTGCGCATACGTCTACCCCTTCGGCACAAACGCTCGACTCTGCTGAAGGCTAACAACTCGTTCTCTTCGTGCCATGACTGCTACATCACCTCCTCTTAACCTGAAAAGCAGACTGGGCAAGCAAAAGGCAGCTAACATTTTCCCAACATCCATCAAGAGAGCGACACATTCTGCCACATCTAGCAGAGCCACCAACCTTTGAATTTAAGCCTCAGTACATGTGGTTCTGGTTTATTTGACACCCCTGTATTGTATGATAACTAAGTGTGGTGCTGTACAATAGGGTTGATCACGGGGGCGGGCTGGGCCCTGCCGGGTCGGCCCTGCCCCAAAACTGCCCCGGGCCAAACCTCTGAGTTGGGCTGTCGGCCCGGGGCAGTCCGGCCAGTCCTGGTCCGCCGGGCCATCGGTGGCCCGATTTTGGCTAGGCATAAGCGAAAGGCCCCGACCCAACCCAGGTTTTTGGCGGGTCGGCTCAGGACTTCCAATGCCCTGGCTCAGCCGGGTCGAGTCTGTCCGGCCCAGACAAAAACCCGTCCCGGTGTTGAATTTCAGGTCGGGTCGGGTCGGGTCGGTAGGGTCGGGCCTTAGGCCGACTTTGACCCGAGACCCGGAATTGGGTCAAAAACAGGGTAACTGGGTCGGGGTGTGACCCGACCCGATTTGGACACTTGGGAAACCCCTAAAGTCGATGTCAAGGGGACATTTTTCCACTCAACATCAGTCCCGCAATCTAATTAACCGTCAGCCCATAAATCCTAGTTTCTAGGCAAGTACTAGTCGACTATGGCCAAAGGATGAATCTATACAGAGTGGGAGTGGAGGGGCTTGGGATTTGTAGATTCAGTGCGGTAAAAGGTGGTGAGCAGTGGCGAATTGGTTGGAAATTTTTGTTCCAACACATTTGTTCGAAACGTGTGCCTAGGCTGAGAAATTTACAGGCAAAATCCCGATGTTCACAGATATCGCAACGAATTCGTCAATTTGCGCAGATCGACGGGCAAAATCGCATATCTGCGCAGAATGCAGGCGAGAGCGGTTTCCTGACCCGAGCCGACCTCGGGTCGGCCTGACCCGATGTCGGGCCAGGAAAGACCCGGCCCTGTACCCCCGGGTCGGGTCAGGGTATTCAACATCCTGGCCCGGGATTGGCCGACCCGACCCGACCCGGAAACCTGCTTGGCCCGGCCAAATCGGGTCGGGTCGGGCCAGATGCCTACTTTTGGCCCGCACGTTTAGGGGCAGACCGGGCCGGCCCATCTCGAGGTGCGGCTCGGGTCGGGCCGTTTTGGCCCGCTTTAGACCCAAGCTCCGCTTTCATTGAGGCCCATCAGAGCGTATGGTAGGAAGTATATGAGAACCGTATTAGTTTCAAAATTAACGAGAGCAAGAGCTGAAACTAGGCCAGTATGGTTTATGCCTACATGGCTAGACTCTATCGAGATGGAATTGAGGGGGTTTGTGCTGCGCATTATTCTCGCTTTGATAGCCATGGCTCGTTTGTTTGAGTTGAACCAAGCTTGGTCTGCCACAATCCTAGGAAGCCTCATGGTGAAAGGACCAAGTTTGTCGCTATCAGCATTTGCCATCATAAGAAATGTGTTCAGGGAAGGCATGAAAGACTAGGCACGAGCATAGGTCTAAGACAAGCCGACTTGGTTCAAGTTGCCATGAGCCGGTGGGCTAATGAGCCAGTCCGCCAGCTGAGCAAGCTCGTGGCTCGTCCATTGTAGACAATCAGACATTGCTTACACGGTTTTGGTATTTTGCTGCTTCGGGTGAATCTTGCATTTCAGCTTTGGATTTGCTTTTCGAGTTTCTCATCTGGGTAGGAACGGGTCTTGGCTCGTCGAGATCGATTTGATTCCAGCCAGTTGATACTCGGATTGCTGTCTTGTCTTGACCCAATTGTCATCTTGGACCCGCGTTTCAATAAAAGGTGGAAATAAAAGAATGAGCTTTAACTATGTCAATCCAAAGGTCATATGTATGTCACAAGACTCAAGAGTCATGATTCTTGTGTCACATAATTCTTGAGTCATGACTCAAGAGTCATATGTATCCCACCAGACAACAACATGATTTGTCATGATATGGGAACCAGCCCGGATCATCAAGCATATTCTTGCCCAGTTCGCGCCAGCCAGGTTCGACCAGCTTGTGGCCGGTTGGTGGCTTGTTGGTGAACGAATAAGTTTAACAAGCCGGCAAGCCGGGTCTTGGCTCGTCGGGCCAGCTCAATAACTTGGGGATCCCGACAGGCAGGATTGCTGGCTCGGTTTGACTCAATTGTCAGCTCAGACCTTTACTTGTCATTGAGCACAAAATTGAGCTCCCAGTTTGACAAATTGCGGGAAAAAAATGTGTCGGGTGTGTCACCGAATATGCACGATTGTACATATACAGAGCCAGGTTTGTTGCGGTGTAGTTCTGGTTGTAGCAAATACTAAGTATGCACTTTTTGGGTGTAGGTAGTTGGGGACAGGGAGAATGCCATGAAGTTGTTAGGAGAGCAGCGAGGGAGAAATCCAAGGAACCAATGTGGACAAACCATCCCATGCTCGAGGCGCACATTGAGAAATGTACGGTTGGAGCCTGGGCTAGGTAAATTCACTGAACCACACACCCTCACTGCTTTTCTCTTGTTATCCTTTCGTATAGTGGAACATTGTTACCTCAAGCCTTGCAACTAGGTGACACACCACTCAGGGAGGACCCTTGGGGTGAGTGCTTAATTGCTTTCAATGGGAGTGGCTAAGACAGCACAAGGACAGACAAGAAGAGGAGACACAGTTGAAGGAGCAGATGGCAGGCAGAGCTGATTTACGGCATTCAATCATATCCGCCTTATATGCAGCCATACTCATGTGTCCATACATTGAGGTATTGTTTTCTTGCTGTTCCAGTGCGCCCATACACCCTTTATATGTTGTATCATCAGGTCTCTTTCCAACAATGCTCTGAGTGGGCCTATTCCATCCACCATTGGTAGCCTGAGGAACCTCGAGTTTTTGTGAGTATCGTGAAGGAAATAGGAAAGTGAGCCAACATGACGTCGCACATGTTCAGAAATCAGAGTGCCTGCGATGGCGACACCAAGTCAACTTGA